ATGAATTTATGTCAATAAGTTTGGTGTCAAACTATAGATTATAATTCAAGTTTTGGTACTATATATTACTCAAATTGGTAATTTCAAAGCAAATATAAAAAAAAACACACTGATAAACATCAATTTTTGTGTGTCACGTGGTATGTTGAATGCAGCACTGGTTCAAATTAGATGTTTGTGAGGTCAAAATACTAAGACTATAGTTTCGACCGAATTAGAAACTCAAATTACCGATGTTGATAAGCTAGAATATAAAATATGAGCCTCTTATCTTTTCAATTTGCAAAGATATTGCTCATGTAATAAATCAAACACAGTGATACCCTGCTCATCTCTTTCCATTTTGGAAACGCTCCCTTATATACAATTACTTCTATATACGATACGAATAACCAACCGAAAGCTCAGAATGTACCACTAGTGGCTTTCTCAGCCATTTTAATGTCTTTGGGTGCCATTTCTTTCTTTAGAACCAAAATTTCAAGGAGGTATGTTGTGTCTTTAGTCTGCTCAAAATTTCATATGGTTTTAGACTCAAATACAGCTTAGTTACTAAGCTTGATAGATTATAGTGGAATTCCATGGTATTGATATAGTAATTTATGATTTTTGGTTATCTAACTCTATATATAAAACCTGTCATGATATAAAAGACTGTGATTAATTTATATTTGCGAGTGAATATTTTATTATTTTTAAGTTTTGTTATAATAATAGTTAAAGCCAGATGATTGTAGAAGGTTTTGTTAATAACTAATTGGTATTGAGAATATAGAAAGTGGCCAAGACATGATCATGAGTGTCAAACTGACTGATAGGAAGATGGAAGAGGAACAAAAACTACTGTGTCAGCATACAGATAGATTAGGAAATACAGACCTCAGTCAACAAAAGGTCAAGATGAAGATCCCATTAAAGAGATGCCCTACTGGAGACTCTATGTTAGGAGAGACAGATAATGGGACTGAAAATGTTGGAACAGACTGTATGATCAGACTTTGTATATGAACTTAGAACAGTCTTTGTGTATTGTAAAAAAAAATATTGTAAATATTTTATCTTGAAGAGGGGTTTATGTCATAATATAAAAGACTGTTTGGTTTAAATATTAGTGATTAATTTATATTTGCGAGTGAATATTTTATTATTTTTAAGTTTTGTCATAATAATAGTTAAAGGCAGATGATTGTAGAAGGTTTTGTTAATAACTAATTGGTGTTGAGGATATAGAAAGTGGCCAGACAACTATGTAATAAAGATATAAATAGCGTGAGACGAGCAGGAAGACAGACAACAATAGACAGATAATAGCAAAAGAGAATATAGTGGTGTGAAGTTAAGTAACGTAAAAGTGATAGGCCTAATGACTGACATAGGCCTAACATTTAATATGTTAGAGTGAAACTAACAGTATATAAAAAGATAAGAAAGATAATTTTATTTCATCAAAGCGTGGTTCTAAAATAATTGAATCAGCCTGGGTACATTTTGACAAAAGGAACAGAGGATCTACAGAAGAAAGATGACCAAACGAATTACAGTAACTTACACCATAACTGTAAGTGAATTACACACAGAATACTAGTATGATAGTGATATAGAGAAGATAATTCAACATGTCAACTGAAATTCTAAAGTAATTGAATAGGCCTAAGTGGACTTTTGACGAGAGGACGAGAACTATATATAAATAGTGTTTATGATATGCCTGTAATCTCTATAGTGTGAAGACTTTGTTGTACACATGTTTAACTTGTTCCAAATATGCATATATTATTTGAAAACAAGTAACGTGTGTGCTGTTTATTCATCATTGAATTTATCGCTAACAAGTCACAGACACCTACTGTACAAGAATCCTAAGCCCAACAACAACATAGTATATATTTATACTATTAAGAAATATAAGTAAAAGCCATTTATTTCGACAATTGGCAAAAAGGAGAAATAATTTATATATATTATTTTTTTAAATCTGACAAAACTTTAAAAATTATTTCGTTTCATATCCTCCACATATGAAATTTTAAAAGGCTTAGCACCCTACATGAAGCATCAACCGAGTACAAAGGTCGTAACTAGATGAGATAATTGTTTGCTTTACTTCTTTATTTACTGTTCTATGTTTTAAGAAAAATAAGATTAAAAACTTATTTCTAAAAAGCAACAATCTATATACATATATAATGTATAATAATTGAAATGTGACTGTATTTTACAAAATACTAGTTTACGAAAACACAGCCAAGACAGGTCACTCTGTAAAGACTAAATGTCAGTTATATATTATTGGATATAGTAACATGAGTGCACGTGTGCCACATCATTGTAACTTCTACATTGTTAGCTGGACATGGCTGAAAGGTCAATAAAATAAAAATAATAAATATGTATATTGTTACGAGATTTAAGCTATTGTGTCTAAACATTTATGCTTTTGTGTTATAATGTGTTCATTCTAGAATGAAAGAGGCATTATTTATGTTTATCTCCTAATTTTGTATGGTGGTTGCGAGATCGGTCAAATCTACCAAACCCATACAGAGATTAATTACTGAAAATAACAGATAAAATATAATGGTTTTTCTTAAGAAATGTTTGATAACTATCCAGACATTATAAGGATTTCACATGTGAAATTTCAATATTTTCTGATACATAAAAGTATTTTTAATGTTAAATTGAAAATTACTTTGCATGATAGACAGGCAAGATGTGGAAAAAAAAAGGCATAAAAGAAACATTGCTTTATAAACCTTAAGACTTAATAAAAAAAATGACATTTTGCATGTGAAAGCATTGTAATGTTTACTGATAATCTGCTAAATTTTGTTACCATATGATTACTAATTTAAAAGTTATAGCATAAAAACTATAACAAGCACAAAATGGTTATGAGGTCGGTCCAATGGACCGAGCCCGTGCTGAAAGAGTTAATATTATACACAATTCAATAATTGTGGTTATTCATCTTCCTACAAGTAAACAATGTTTTAATTAGAGAAATAAAATGGTTGAAAGATGATAAGGTGCTCATTACATACAACAATAGTTTTTACTCACCTTCCTAAAATTTCTAACAACTCTGCAATTCCATTGTGATGTTCTGTTTCATAAATGAATCTAGAAAAATGCATATCAAATAAATGCATTGTACATGCAATAAAAGAAACTACAGGTATTTAAAAAAAAAAAATATATATATATATATATATATATATAT